GCAGCAGGGGCTAGCAGGAGCTGATAACAAAGCTGCTGTCATGTGTTGTAAACAGGATGTCATTACAGCTGGTGCAGCAAGATATATGTGTAACAAGAGCTAGCAGAGGCTGACATCAAGGTCGAGTGCAGCAAGAGCAAGCAAGAGCTAGCAGAGGCTGAAGAAAAGACAGCAGTCATGGATGTCATTACCAAAGTAATGACATAGCTGTCTGGCACAACAAGCACTGCTATGGGGTAGTAGTAGCCTAGTTCCTCACAGGTAGTGTGAGGTGTGCAGCCACAACAGGTTAAGTTGTGATGAAGCTCCTCACAAGCAGTGTGAGGTGTGCAGCCACAACAATGTGAGTTGTGGTGAGTGAGGTGTGTTATCATGTGTTTTAAGCAAGACATAGTTGCAAGACATAGTTGCATGACAACAGAAGGAGCTGCTAGGGTATATCTCTTGACAGAATTGGTTTGGATTGATGAGACCATGTTGAAAATACCTCATCAGTAAATATGTCAAGGAGATGGATTAAGAACAAGAACAGATTGTATTAGGATTCATAAAAGGATCTTGGAGACCTTTCAGAAAACTTGAATATACTTGTTTCTAATATTACTCTGCAGAAGATTGGAGAAACCATGACTGTCATGATGAAGATTCTGCAGAAGTGTTCAGCAGGGCAAGCTGGTCAGCTAAGAGGACGTGAAGCTGAATGTCATGACCAATGTTATGACATTGATCATATGACATCAGACGGGCTGAGTTTGTTTTTCTGTTATGGTACCTGATATATCTCAAGCTAAATATCAGGAAACATGTTATGACTCATGAGGTATCTCAGGAGAGATTCAAGGCAATGCTGACCATGCCATGACCTAATTGGACAACACCTTGAATTGTGGAAATTAGTTTTATTTTGGTAAAACTAATATTTGTTACTTTTGCACAACCCAAGCCCAGTATGCACGACTATAAAAGGAGGAGCAGAAGCAAAAGAAAAGCAAGCACTCACATCAAGAAAAATCAGAGTGTAAAATAGAGGTCTAGGGTTGAGAGTCCCTTGTGTGTAAGTCACCCTATGTATATTTTGATACATTGAGGTAGACATATTTGTAAGTGAAGTAGGCTAGTCATCACTTGTAAAGTCTGTTTAGGAATACTTGTAATCCAAACAATTGTCTGGTGGATGATTGTTTTGGTTAGGTAGATTCTAGGTTGTGTCTCACTCGAAGCTGTGAAGCAAGGGTGTGTGAGTTCCTTGATCAAAGTTGTGAAGTAAGATCAAGGTGTGTATGAAGTGTCTCTTCATACTGTTTTGCAATTGTTTGAAATCACTGTTGTGATTGTAGGGAGTGAGTGGGTATACTCAGGTACTAGAGTGTCTCTAGGATGAAATTGCATTGGGTAGAGATTAAGTGAGGAGTGTAAACTGGAGGTTTAACTCTAAATTAATTCTGCTAATAGTGGATTTCCTTCCTGGCTTGGTAGCCCCCAGATGCAGGTGTTGTTGATACCGAACTGGGTGAACAATTACTGTGTTATTTATCTTTCTGCATTTATAATTCTGTACTTTAAATGGTTAGATAAATAGTATGACAGACTGCAGATGTCACAACAGAGGTCGTGACATTGGTCATGACATTGGGACAATTTAAAGAAATTTAAATTGGCCATGGTCTGTCCTCATCCTTGTTGAGCAGAGATCAATGTTCTTGGAACACATGTGATCTGCATAACCAGAATTTCAACCCTAATCTTTGACCATTTCAAAACCCTAATCTTGCCTAGGTGTCCTGTCGCGGACAAAAATACCCTTTACCCTAGAATTAGGTTAAGGAGTCGCCGCACTCCGTTTTAGGGTTTCCCGCCGTGGAATACCTAAGTTAACCCTAATTTCATTTCAAACAATTTCAACGTAGAAATAGGAGTCTCCGAACTCCACGTAAGCGCTTCCTTATGAACGCTCACTCCCCTTTTGAAACCTTGACCACATTCAAGAAGTTTCTAACCTCCCTTTCAAGGGGAACTATGATTACTCTGATTCCATCCCCTACCTCGGATACGTAGGCACAAGATGTGAATCTTGGCGAGTAAACTTAGGACTAACCCTTAGGTCTCTTCGTCACTCTTAACCCTTAACTTAGTATATACCCTAAATCAAATAATAAAGCAAAGTAGTAAAAATGAACAAAAGGTTCCTATAGAGTACTACAGAAGTTTAGGGTGCTAATATCTTCCCTAAGATGAACCAACCCCTTACCTAGGTCTCTCCCCGCATTGTGCTTACGATGCAAAATTAGGTTTTTCCTTTCTTTGACCTTTCCTTCGGATAAATTAAAGACCGGTTGTGAACTAAAAGATGTGATTCAAATTAATTAATAATTTGATATCCTATTCTAACCGCAACAACTATGTTATAAACATTGTTTAGCAAGTCGTTTGCTCCCTGTACGCCAAGGTTAGCCTGTAACAACTGATGGTTGGGGAGCATTTCTTGTCCAACTATCATAGGTAGTGACAGAGGTTGATGTGAAGGTTCACCTTCATGAAAATACTAGGAGGATTCAAAGAATGAAATATTATAGAATATTCCTTGACTGGTTTTTAATGGAGCGGGATCTTCTTTTGAGGGTTTGGAATGAGATACTATTAAGACTAGATTGTCCTTTGTTTGTGGAAGAGGAGGTGGATATTTGAAGCTTCTACAGGTGTAACGCCGACTTTCCGTTGAATGGAAGATTGAATGGCTTTAGATGCCACTGTGGTTGATGAATCTAAAGAAGATCAGTTGGAAATAAGGTTGATATTCGAGGTGGAAGAACGTGAGAATGAGATTTGACGCTCTGAGAGAGGAGATTTGGATCAGAGGTAATGTGAACGTAAAAATTTATAGGAATCAGATTTCAATTCCCACAGATGACACAGTTGCTTTGTTTCAGAACTAAAATTGTCCGATGAATTGATGAAGTATTAATTGTTACGCCGGACATGAGCTTTTAGTGCGACGGATAGGGGGTTGACATGCAAGATTAGCACTATAATGTTCAAGTCAATGAGAGAATGAGAAGTGATGTGAGAGTGAGAAGAAATTCGAATACATGAGAATGATGTGCTTTCCCTCTTAAATAGAAAGAACGATTTGAAACAGAAAGCGTGAAGTGAGGCGTGGATCACAGTCAGTTGTTTAAATCCTATAGGCAAAGTTACATGTCTTTAGGGGAATAGATGTCTACTTACTCTTCTTACATGCTACCCTTCTTGATCATTGGACCTTTCGTTTTGAATCTTGTAGGCGGCCTAGAACACATGTCACCCCCACATATTTTCATAATTTTCAAAATGTCCATAAGTAAATTTGAGTCAAAAGTACGAACGAAATTTTCAGTAGTTCATTCAAAATTTTCAATAACAAATCAAATTTCTGGTAGTTCATTTTTAAAATGTCAGTACAAATTTTTTATCAGTTTTTTTTAAAAGTGCTATAAGTTATTGAAATTTTCGAAAAGTAATGTAGTTTATTAGAAATTTCGAAAATTCCAATAATGCAAAAAATTCAAAATTTTTGAATTTTTTTTTCGAAAATTCCGATATTTCTTCAAATTTTATTTAGAATAATTAATTTTTCAAATTTTCGATATTGTTTCAAAAATTCTAGTAAACACACTAAAAAAAATTCTAAAAATTTAATAAAGACATAAAGGTTAGAGCAGTCACAATGTGGAGATGTCAGATTTAATCGAAACGCGAAATTAATTGCTCTAAGGATTTCTGCCACACTATTCATACAACTTCCAAAGACAACTCACGAGTTAAATTTCTCACTACCAAAGAAGTGTACAATGGTAAGTTGTAGTAATAATAAAAGAATAGGTTGCTATTGTATTATTGTTTCTGATGGCAAATGGTACAATATGACTTGTCTCACTCATTTCATGTTGCTTAAATTCTTATGAACGGTGTTAATTGAATGAAGTTGGTGAGAACAGAAAATATGTAATAAATGTCATAACAACAATTCTACTGCAATTCCCTGCAACTTAATGGTTTCTGGCTGTGGCCAGTATTTTTCAAATAAACGCACAACTTTTATTGTGTTTCAGCTGAAAACAAGGTGTGGTCCTCATTTCCATCTTGAAAAAAGAAATCATTTCAACAATGAAATTGCATCAAATTGGTAGTAAATATTGGTACACAATCTATGTTGCACTTCATCCTAATTTAAGAAATGTTTTTTCCTCATTAGTCACTATTAACTTTGGCTTTATCATCTTTATATTCACGCATTCAAGTCATCGTCAAGTCATCAGAAACCCTCGTCTAAAGCAAAATTTTATGGATTGATTCAACACAGAAATTATTGACACTTAATAGAATTTAAACCAAATATTTTAAGAAGAGTACACTCTCAAAATTGAAGTTTTATCAATTAAAGATCAGAGATGATTCTTGTAAGATAATATGATTTGAATTCAAATTTGATATTTGAGATTATAAAATAAAAAACTGACATCTATTTTATTTTTAACAAATACTTGAATGCGCGATTCTTTTGCGGAGAAATACAAATTTGGTAAGGTCTCTCGTTAAGAAAAAAAACACCAACTTTCTTCATTTCTTCAACAATTTCTGATCAATCCCAAACTACGAGTTGTTGTACTCTTGCTTTTTGCCTACTTCTCTTCCATGCATGAATTTGAAATTTTCGAACCGATTTGGTACAATGTCATTGTACACACGTGTTTTATAGCAAAGTTAGTATCACCTCCAAAAATATCTCACTTTTCATTCATTTATGTACTAAACCAACTTTCACTTAAAAATATTCCTCGATGAATAAATGAATGAACGAACGAACGTCTTTGAATCAGCCAAGACAAAACACCAATGATTATTATCATCAATTGTTTTCAATGATCCATCCCTTCTCTTTTTTGTCTCTCACTTGGCCAAAATTACCAAACTTTTGTATCTCAAAATTGAGAGAGCAATTCAAAATTTCTCATAAAATATTTTTATGATCCATGTTTTGCCTCAGCTTTTAAACATTGTTCAATGTCATGAGCTATTCTTTTTGCATCCATTGATGCACCTAATAGTCCTCTTTTTGTAAAACCTACTGCATAGAGTCCATTTTTACCTTTCCATCCATTGGGAAATGGCTTCATAGGAAATCCATCTTTCATAGAAAACATATCCTCTTCCTGCACATTTATATCACATAATTAATATTATAAATAAAAAAGTAATTTTTAAATTTATCAAATAACTGATATATCATATTTATATTTATATATAACTCTGAAGTGATATTTATTAAATTAAAAATAAATATTTAAAATATTTGGGAAAAAAATAAAATATTTGCATGTTAATTATATAGGCAGTGACGACCAGCATACACATTGATTTTATTCATAATTCAACTCGTGTTACAATTAACTTTCAATTAAGCGCGATGATCAATTGTACATATTTATTATACATATTTGTATCATACCTTGAGCCAATAAGGTACATTGCTTTTGTAACCAGTTGCCAATATGATGCCATCAAAATTCTCTGATCTTCCATCTACAAATTCCACTGCATGATGTTTTAACTTCTTTATGCTTGGCCTTACCTACATATCAATCCATTTTTAGTTTATAAATTTAGCATCAAAATCAAATTTGAGTTTGACAACCAACAATCTACTAAAAAAATACTAATTAAGTAATTAATCCTACTAAGCATGATTCAAATAATGATTAGCCAATATTTTGTGTTGATTAGCTTTTCAATTAAAAAATCAAACTTAACCAATTGTGCTTTCTTTCATGATTTGATTGAAATCACATAATGATGAAAAATCTTGGCAAGTAAAATAAAAGAGGTGGGAATAAATTAAGAAGCCATTTCATTAATTTAATTATATAAAAAAAGCAAAAAGGAAATAATTAGGTACCGCCATTAGTTTTTTTATTCTAACACCATAGAGAAAATATTTATTAAATAATTTAAAAGAAGTACAAAAGAATTCCCCAACCTACTATTACTATAGCCACCATAACCCTAAATGAAGTTGCTTTCAAGAACTAAACACACATTACATCTAATCAAATTTTCAATCATAGTAGCATTAGTCTAACCATTATTATATATAAAAAAATTTCTTTCACATTTATTAAACAATAAATATAACTGATGTATTTAGACTTTTATATAGACAAATATACAAAAATTAAACGCACATGTGTACGCAAATTCAATCTTAATTAATAGAAGTTAGTCTTATTTATTTAAACATCTTCACAAAGTTTGAATCTTTAATATTTATAATACATATAATTCAGATACATTAATTTTTTTAAATAAATTTAAAAAGTGAAAATTTTCTTATATTACTGTTCTGTCTTCGGACAGAAGAAATAAAGAATCAAATATGATACATGTTTGAATTGAATGACAAACTCAGGTTAAACAGAAATTATAGTACAACAATAATTTCGCTCAGAGTTTCACCAAAATTCGCAAACAATCCAAACATAGCGTTAAGTTCGACCATGAATAATTTCACGGCGGAATCTCGATGAAAATGTTTCTAAAAAAGTAGTACTAAAAAATATGAAAGTACCTTAATGTGTCCAGCTTTAATCTTGGCAAGGGTACCCACATCTAGGACAGGAGTTTTTCCCGTGAGGTTTTTGAGTTGAAGGGGTCCCAAAGTAGGACGATCCAAGCCAAGTTGAGAGGTGTCACCAAGCAAAAGCCATGACAGAATGAGCAAGAATCGATCGACAAGTCTCAATGGAAACCACTTTAGTAACCACATGGACAACCCAAAAGTTGATTTTCCTAGCATCTCTCGTGGTAGAACGTGTACCTTCATTTACCAAAATTAACCATAGTAAATTAAATAACAATATCATATAAAGTGGGGGCAAAAAAGGTACATGGACTTTGGCTGCCTAATGTTGTTGCAGGCTTAGGCCATGCTCTATGTGGGGAAAAACACAGAAAATTCATGGGGATGTGGTGGGAAAAAGAAGGTTTTGAAAAAAGTTACAAAAATGAAAAGAAATATTTATCAATATTATGCCCATCTTGCGCATGCTTGAGATTCCTAGAAAGTGTTGCAAAGATCAAGTCATGAAATATTTTGTGTTTTGTGAACAATTAACTATCTATTTTGGAACTTGAAACCTATATGGGTGCATGCATATGCATACCAAGAATGAAACAAAACAAAGCCTTTGTTTTAATGATTCATGTGAAATTTGTGACTCTAAAAATCAAAACTCTTAAAGAAAACCCTCCAAAAATTTGGTACGTGAAACTTTAAGATGTAACAACTATTCCTTTCAAGATCTCGAATTTGAATTTGGTTAGTTTTAACCATTTATATGTTAAGTCATTTTATTCAGAAAATTGGACTCTAGAAACAGACAACAAATTTGGTATTCAGATTTGTCAATCCGGATAACATATACCAAATTTTTTTTAATAGAGAATAAGTTCAAAATTTCATTTTCTTGCTCGATGACAAAATGAGCTTTAAACATTTATACATGATTTTGGTGGAAAATAAAAAAGAACTATCTTGGTTTGGAAATAGAAATCAATTAAATATATGCATAGTATTTCTTTATGAAAAGTAAAAGAAAAAAACAATTTAAAAAAAAAGTAGAAATCAAAAAGTGAGAGTGTCTTATAATGATATACTTAAACTTTTTTCCTCATCAAATTAAACCAAAAACTCCAAATAAAGAGAGACATAAACTTAAAAAAAAACTTTTTTTCTTCTTCTAATTTTGTAAAAACCATTTTCAAAACACATAAAATAATAAATAATACTAATAAATAGTTTAAAAAATGATTATATTTTTACTTACTGAATCTCTAACAACAAGAGAAGGAGTAGCATGATGGTTACAAAGATCCAAACAAACTTCCATGCCAGAATTTCCACAACCAACAACCAAAACTCTCTTCCCTCTAAACTCTTCTCCACTTTTATACAAACTTGTATGTCTTATAACTCCTTCAAACTCATCTGCGCCTTCAATATTTGGCACAACAGCCTCTGCATTTTCTCCGGTCGCAACTATCAACCACCGGCAAACATACTCCGTCGCTGTAACTTCGCCTTTACTACTATTACTATGACTCTTCAACCTCCAGCAACCTATTTTAGTATCGAATTCGGCATTTTTCACAGTCTCATTGAATTTCGGGCGAATATGAAACCTTTCGGCGTAATTCTCCAGGTATTTTATGAACTGTTGTTTGGAAGGGTAGGTTGGGAAATTGGATGGAAATTCGACGAAAGGTAACTCGCAGAATTGTTTTGGAAGATGAAGACGAAGTCGGTCGTAGGTTTTGAGTTGCCATAATGAAGCTATGCAGTTGGATCTTTCGAGAATTATGGATGGAATGTTTTTTTGTTTGAGACATGCTGCGGCTGCTAAACCTGATGGTCCTGCTCCTACAATCACAGGTCCATTAACAAACACGCGACGACGAGAATCTGTCGACGGCGACGACAACAACAATGATGATTTATCGTTGTTCATCTTGTTCATGAATAAAGGATCATGAGCTTGTTTTCCTTCTAGTTCTCTTATGCAATAGTCCATGGAGAGATGAAAGTGTTAGGAGAGAGAAGAGAGAAATATGAAGTTTGTTTTGAAGGGTTATTTTATTAGGTTGAGAGTTTGGTGGTATTTTAGTTTTCTTAGGAGAAAAAATAGGGTTAGGTTTAAGAAGGAAATTGCTTGAAAATGGAGAGTGGATTTGAAGAGGGTATTATCCACTTGTTTAAAATGAATGTGACTTGAATTGAGTGTGTTTCTTGTGGAGGAGGGTTGAGCGGGAGGATGGGCAACTACTGCGGGGCTAAGTCAGCATTCATAGCAGAGAGAGACTCACTGAGAAGGATGGTCATATATATATATATATATATATATATATATATATATATATATATATATATATATATATATATATATATATATATATATATATATATATATATATATATATATATATATATATATATATATATATATATATATATATATATATATAATAACAAATGTAAGTAAGTGAAAAAGTTTCACGAATGTGGAAATTTAAATATTTATAGATGGGAGAATGCATACACGTGTTATCTTAAAATTTTTAGTTAGTATGTGGTGGGTCTCTTACGTAAGTGTATTTGCTCATAAAAGTGAAAGTTCTTAAAATATAAAAATGTTTTCTTGTCTTGACTTTCGAATTGACTCCAACAACGGAATCACGAGTCTTTAGTTTAAGTGAAAGAAATTACTTATTTGTATCGAAATTCTTTGCTGAGTAGGAGGTGGTCAAGTGTATGTGATTGAAATATTTTCTATTTGAGGGGCATCATTGCATTGTGAATAGACTCAAATTTAAACATTGAATTATTGGTAAAGTGGGGATAATTCACACACCTGTTAACCTAAGTGATTAAGTGGTAACAACATGAAAACAATGTTTTAAAATCCAAACTTATGATATGTCCGATTAAAATATTATATTATTGGTTAAATTGATGAGTCATTAATTGAATTGCGTACTTGTTGATTGAATTTATAAAAGAAAATAGATTTTAATAGACCATAACACAACATTATTATCCTATAGTCATCATTCATATTCAAAATCATCTTAAGAACTTTTAACATTAAACAAAAATAAAATAATGGATTCTAAAACTTTAACAAAATCACCCAAATCAATTGAATAATGATAACAATGCAAATGAAAATTGTAAATTCAACAACAATAATAATATTAAATAACAATAACTACTTTTATAATAAGAAAATAGATTGATTATGAGAGTGGTGAATTAAAATATATTCTTAAGATTATTAAAATTTCATATTTTGAGTTGAAACATCGTTGAAGAAATGTTGTTTTAGATTTTAGATTTTTGTTTACTTCTTACAAAATGGATTAATAAAGAAAAGTGTAATCGGTTGATTCAAATATACTCATCAATACTGTTGAATTGTTCGAATCACATTAATTTTCTTCCGATCAATTGCATATTTGATTCTTTGATCTTTCCAACCCTCCATACTCTTTGATTTACCGTCGAACGGATCCAACCAACCGAATCAATCTGAATTTTAAAACACTACATAAAAGATGAATCTACTTCATAAAAAAAAATATTTTTTATATTATTAAATTTTCTTCTTATAAATATAATCAAAATAATAAAGATTAATGGTGGATCATTTGTAGTGAATTCAATTGATAATTATTCGATTTATATTTGATCAAATCTGATTTGAATTACACTGATAATTAATATTGATGGATAATATGTATAAGTATTTTTAATAGTATTTTATATGTACTTAATTTCGTATTTACAACAATTAATTTTAAATTAACTATTTTTTATTAAACATAAGTTAAGAATAAATTGATTTATATTTATTTAATAATAATGAATTGAACAATTAATTTAAAAATAAAAGTCCATTTAAAATCTACTAATCTTTAAGTTAATAGGCAACATTATATATATTCAATAGCACTAAAAACAAAACCAAAAGATACACTTTTTATTCTGTCTTTTGTGAGGCTCTTGATTCGTCTCCCCTAATAGCACTAAAATTAATTATTTTTGACTAAACACATTGAATTTTTTTTTAAAAGTATTTTGTTTTTTTATTAAAAAAACAAAAAACAATAATTGAAAATATTTAATTTATATCTTAAAAATTAATACCTAATTTTTACCAATTTAATTTAAAAAAAGTGGGGTTATTATATAATATATGTGAGATTAATTTGAGGTGAATATGCAAAATACACAAAGAAAGCATATAGTTTTGTGGGCTAATTAAAGTTAAGCATTTTACATATTTAAAAACTCACATGAAAACGTCACTGTATTCGTCAATATTATTTGGTGAAGATTGGGATGATGATTAGGAGTATCTTATAGAAAATAACCATTCATTTTAATCATGTTTAATTGGTTAATTAATCCAATAAGATGTGAATTACAGTTAAAAAGAGACAATAATCTAGAACATAGATGGTGGTAATCATTTTATTGGGTAATGTGAAAATGACCCAACTTTGGCCAGATAATTTATGAACTGTATCTAGGTTAGATTATTTATTTATTGCAAATAAGTAAGTGGTATATTTAAAAAACAATTCTCCATTCAAAAAGGGGGAAAAATAATTCATTTATAAGCAAAGTCAAATACTATGCAATCAAAGATTAAAAATAGAATCAAATGTCACTCAACAGATTTAAATGGCATTAGAAATATATTCATAAGTCATTTCCAAATAAAGTAAAAAATAAAAGTTCCTAACATCTTTTCAATAGGTTATATTGATGATATTCATCAACAATAACAATATATCTAACCACGTCAAAAATTCAATCACTATTTAACAGTATTTAAAAGTATATTAACTTGTTCTTAAAGCATCAGTTTTAAATTATAAAATTTTTTATAAAATAAATTTATTTTATTATTTCAATATAATATTTATAACTTTTTAAAATATATTTATTATTATTATTATTTATTTTTTCAACTTTTTTAATTTCTCTTTCCTATAAATTATAAATGGTATCACCGTAAAATTATATATAATTTATTTTTTCTATAAAATAAATGTTTTTTAGTCTAAAAAATCTCTTAAAATAGTTTCTTTTATTTTTTCAATACAACATTAATTAATTTTTATCATCTTTATCTCTATACATTTACGAAAATGGATAACAATCCATAATAATTAAAAGTAGTTTTGTATAAAATTATTATATTTATTTTATTCAATTATTTTTTTCTTAATCTATGTATAATAATTTTAAAAGATTTTTATTTTAATACAAAAATAATAATTAAATTTCTTAATTTTACAATTTGTATAAAATGTTTAAATCATCTTATAACTTTAATAAAATTGTAAATATTTATTTATATGAATTGTTTTGATTTTAAAACTCGGCAATTAATAAATCACTTTGATAATACAAACGAGGGCATGCTTAGGATTTAGGATATATTATTGGTTGTTGAATGAAAATAAAATTCTTGAATAAAATTAATATGAATAAAGATTAAATTATTTGAGTCTATTTTAATATCACAATTTGATAATGACAGTTTAATTTTTAAAATTCATAGTTTAAGAATATTTGTGAGTTGGATTGAGTCTAATTTGATAAAATTTAATATTTTACTTGATCAATATTTTTTGAATTGAATTGGATTAGATTCGTGGGTCATCTATTAAATATAATTTTCAAATTATAAATAAAATATATAAATTTAATTAATAAATTTATATTACAAAAATATTAAAAAATAATAAATATTTAGTATTTAATTTGAATAAAAACTTATTGCTTAATACCTAAAAGCTCTTTTTCAATTCATATAAAGTTAGAAAAATATAAAATGATGTAAAGTATAATTTAAAAGGTAAGATATATCTCTCTTTGAATAAATAAAGTTGATCTCTCAAATTTGATTTAGACTTAGACTTTTATAATTACTAAAAACTATAATTATAATAAAAAATATGAATTATTAAAATTATGTTAGATAATTTATAAATAAAATAAAATTAAAATAGTGTGACTATTAATGAGTTGAATTCGCGGATTTGTAGATTTAAAATTTTAAATTCGTTATTCAAATCAAATACCAATTGATTTGAATGGGTTGGTTCAGATTAGACTCATACATAATTAGGTTGGATAAAAATATGAGTTGAGTTGAGTGAATGAATTTGCAGATTGTCTCGTACCCATAAACACTTCTATCTAAAACTACAACACATTAAAAAAATAATGTAAGATTAATGACTTGGCTCGTAACACAATTTCTTAATGTCTTAGAAAGATGAAGATTGATGTTATTGAAAGTCTTAACGCGCACTAGTTTCTTAAGTCACATTAGATAATTTGATATTTCATCCGTCTCATAAAAAATATTTTATATATATATATATATATATATATATATATATATATATATATATATATATATATATATATATATATATATATATATATATATATATATATATATATATATATATATATATATATATATATATATATATATATATATAATAATTATCCATTTACAATATCAATAAAATATTTATTATTATATTTTTATTTATTAATTTTTACTTTATTTAACTATTCTACTATAACAACATTTTAGTAAATCAACACATCTAATATTTTTTTAAGAATCATACATAGCTCAAATATGGTAATTTTTGAGACAGAAAGTATGTCTAAAGTCATTTTCTAGGTCCATTTCTAACGATGGTGTTTAATGGTAAATTGTTTCTTAAAATAAGTTTATATATTTGTCAATAAATAAAAGCAATTCACACAAGCATAATTAGGCATGATAATGTAACCTATATCTGCGAGTTTCACCCGAATCTGTTTCGAATTTGACGAAGAAAATTTATTTTGATTGGATTTGGATTCGAGTTTGAGTTTTTTTCCAATATAAAATATGGGGATGGGTTGGGTAATAAGGACACTAGTATCCACGCGGACCCGTCCTCGAACCCGCCCCGTTTATTTTACTATGTGCTTTAT